CGCCTCGCAGGCCGATCGCGAGGCCGGGCTCCGCGCGCCGCGGATCGGCGATTCGCCGCCCGCTGCCGCGCCCTGGCCCCCCGCCTGGCGGCTGCCGCGCGCCTCGGCGCGCCCAGGAGAGGCCCGACGCCCGAGCCCGCCTGGCACAGGCGGCAGAGGGAGCGCCGGGCGTCGGCGCGGGCCCTCCTGCGCGTCTTGAGGGCTGCCGACACCCTGGCCAGCCACCACTCGGCGCAGAAGCACCAGCGCGACCAGCAGTACGAGCTGCAGGACTTCGAGACCAGCAAGATGGCGACCAATACGAAGTCTCACGGCCATCCAGTGGGGGCCAAGCCGTGGCCATGGAGGTCAAGTACGCCAGCATCTGGATCCTCTCATCGCCGACACAATGGAGGGCATGGACAGCAGCAGCCACGGTACCAGCACCAGCACAACCAGCACCACCACAACTCCCAACACGACGAGGATCGACAGCAGCACAACGACGCCCATCATCAACAGAAGTATCAGTACGACTCCACGACATCGAGAACGAAGCGGACTCCATCAAGGAGACGCTACCAGGCCCCCGAAGACGCCACCAACGATCACCGACATCTGCCAAAGCTTACGAAACGACAGCTGGAGGTCACTGACAAAATAATGCCCGCCCTGCTTTCGGAGGCCAAGGGACACGAGAGCTTTTCTCTTCCCCCCGACGAGCCAGACATACGTCGGGTATGGCACGCCACCAAGGTGGCGAGGATGGCACGTCTCGCTGACCAAGTACACGGAGCCAGGCAAGCACAAGTCGACCCAACCCGCCTCATCGAGGAGCTAGCCATAGTCAAGACCATGATCCACCTGCTGGACACACCGACGGCTCGCATCGCACAATACAGATCCCAAGTGGAGTCACGAATCCAGAGACAGCAGACCGTCGAGAGCCAGCTCAACGACCTCAATAAGGAGCACGACGAAATCAAAGGCGAGATCGCATCCCTCAAGGCACTCATCTCCGAGGCCAAGAAGTATCGAGAACACGCTGAACTTTACGAAGACAGCTGTGACGGAGACGGTGAAGACGACGGGCGCCATCGAGTCAGAGGCAAGACACCACACCCCGAGAGACGACAACGACCACCATCTCGTCAACCCGCGTCTGAGCCAGTGCCTGCTCCGACCACCAACGACGGCAGCGACCTACGGAACCTCATCGACGTGCTGACGAGGAGAGTGGACGAGCAGCAGCGCAACCACGGTATACACCAACACCATCTGGCGTTTCTCCATCATGAACGAGCTGAATCCGAACAACACGAAGCACAGCGTCAACGGCAAACCGAGCAGATTCAGGAGCTTTCGCAACACCTACAGCACTGCCAGGAACAACTTCAGCAGGCACAAATCCAGCAGAGACAGTCGTACTACGACGAGATCCAAGCCTTCCGACAACGCGAGGAGCGGCTCCGACACGAGGCTCAAGAATCCATCACGGAGAACATGGCTCACTACCAGCAGAAGGAGGCCCACCTGCGAGACCAGCTCAGGGAGGAGGAGTCAGCTCACCTCGCCACTTTCATCATCCAGAGGAGGCAAGAGGAAGAGACTTTCCGACACCAGCTACAGGAGAATGCTGAGATCATGGTCAAACAATATCAACAACGATGCCACGAACAACAGCAGCGTCTTCTCTCTGAGAAAGCTCAGGCCCAGCAGGACATCAGCAACATCGCGAGGCTTGAACAGAACCAGATACAGGATGCTAAGGAGCTACTTTTGGAGGAGTTCGGACAAGTACAGGCTCAGAAGTACCGCGCCATGATGGCCCATAGCGAGTACAACAGCGAGATCGACAAGCTTCGAGGCTCTTCCAGCGACATGCAACGCTTCGAGAACGAACTCCAGGAGCAGCACCAACTCCAACTACAGGAGCACCTTCAGCAACATAGACAGGAGCGCGAGCGACTGCATTGCGAACTACGGCAAGCCCACGAGTTCGGCACCAGCATCGACGTGGACATCCTCAGGGAGCTCGACACACAACTCCAAGAACGAGACGAGGAAGACGCACGACTGCAAGCCCAAGCAGATGCTGAACAAGCACAGATCGACAAACAGGTTCAAGCGGCACTCCACCTGCTGACCCCACCGTCTTCCTCTGATGACTCGGGCTATCAACTATACCTCAGAAACCGCGGCAGCAGCAGCGGAGGACAGCCCAGCAACAGCGGACAGCGCAGCAGCACACCACCACCACGTTGTGAAGGAATGCCCCGCCAGATTTCGATTCCCGCGCTTCCGCCTCGACCGACACCTGCGATGCCAACCGCCACTCCCACTGCGAGACGCCCATGCCACGACGCCGACGACGCCAGCGTGCACACCCCAATCCCAGCCGACGACGACGACCTTTGCAGCCCAACCCCTGTTGCGAGTGACGCATATCCCTTCCCTGTCCCCACGCCTTTACCCACCCCCGCCTCGCTTACGCCGATCCCCACCGAGCAGCATGCGCCCATCGGCTTCCACCCACCCGACCCGCAAAATGACCGACCCAGCTCAGCGCCACCACCACGCACCAGAAGGACAGACTCAACCAAGCACAACCACCCATCCACTACTCTTCTCATTGACATCACTTCCGATGACGACGCACCACCACCCTCCGCCCCAGTGCGCATTCCACTGGCCGACATATCCCCTACCGCACCGATGCAGCCAATCCAACCGCCACCCCGCTTCCACCTCGCCACGCCCGACCGCGCCACCTCTGCCCCCCCGCCCCGCACCGCCCTCCGAAAAAACGGATCATCTAAACGAGCGACCATGCCCAAGAAAGTCCGTATCTGCGACATCGGAGACGGCTTCGCAGACCCAGGAGACCGAGTGCCAACCTTCCTCAACGACGAGGAAGTCCCCGCGGTCAACTCACCAAAAAACTAAAGAGGCCCTCACCCCCTGGGGGGCAACTGGCCCAGGGGGAGCGGCCCAGCATCACACCAGAAGAATGCCAGCGCAACGACGGCACTTCCGACTCCTGCAGTGGTTACGCCGACGACGTCAAGCGCCGACTATTTGAGCCCCTGGTGAGCTACGATTCACCATACGACACTTCACAAGTTTCACCTACCCTCTCATCAGCCAATAGAGGCATGCGCGATGGGGAGAGCGCACCTCCAGACCTGTACGAGCACGGCGACATGTGGGAAATCCACACACCGCCCAACATACCACAGCCTAGTAGTGGACCGTGGACCATCCCCTCGGCCTCTACCTCTCGCTTGGGGAGCGCGAGAAGGCTGTCTCACACAGACCCCACACTAGAACCACATACGATAGCGGAACGACCAACTACTGCCACCCAACCTCGACGGCAGCATGTCGACTCACATCCTCCACCAGCGGAAGCCCAGTCACGGTCGATCCCGACGATGACGACGCCACCGCCTACACCTCGAGAGGATGCATCGCTTTGTGAGTACGACACAGGAGGGGGGCAAGAACGACTAGAGACACCAACAAGGCATCGACGCACTAGCCATTTTGGCCAAGATGGCGATCGAGACCGACAATTTTGTGACTCACCGAGCCGGCCATGTACATCAATTCCCTGCCGGCCACAACCTCCCAATTTTGACTCCCGTGAAGTTACCCAGATTCCACACGGACAGACCGACCTGCCGAATGCGGAGAGCCACGAGGCAGTACGGCATGTTCGATTCTCGCGCGAGGTCCACACCCGCGACCAGCAGACCGACAATATCCTCTACCACATCGACTTCGACGAGCAGGAGCCCTTACTCCAGCACCTTCGACGACTTCAGGCTCCCAGGCTGACCTTCAAATTTACCGACCGATGCCACAACGAGGTTTCAGATTACATGATGCGAACATCCCCATACCGACAGCTCCTACGAGATTCTCGCCTGCACTTATATACCGACGGCTCCAAACACCCACGCCAACATGGTCAAGACGGATGGTCAGTTGTACTCGTCGGTGAAGACGAAGAAGGCTTCTCTCTTCAAGGCGCAATAGTCGGCAAGCACCGCGACTCCACCCTCGTGGAGATCCAAAACCTCACGGACAACGAGACCACCTCGACATCCAGCGAGATCACAGCGCTCATCTGGGCGCTCGCCTACATCATCCACAAGGACATCAATCACAGGATATCGGTCCACTCCGACTCGCTGGGAGCGATCCAACTGGCCAGGATGGAGGCTTTTACCAACCGAGACGCCCACCTCGTGCAGCTACTGGCGATCATGTACTCGCACGTCAAGGAATATGTCGACCTGTGTCACGTCCACGCCCATGAGATGAACCCCTGGAACGAAGTTGCCGACGCCGCAGCCAACTACGCCCGCATCGAGGACTACCCGCACCCACAACCTGAATGGGCTAACATACTCAACGCGTCCCCTCAGAGATGCTGGGAATTCCTACTCGACGCCGACAACCACACCAAGGACGCTTACCCATCCTTTTCACCTGGGATGCTCAAGGCCCAACGCATCGACACCACGGCAACGACAGCTCACCTCTCGACACCAACCAAGTCCACGAAGACCTCGACCGAGATAGATGTCAACATCGCCACCTACAACATCCAGTCAGGGCGCGAACCTGGCCACGGCGCTCGACGACGAAAAGAAAAGATACACAAGCTCAGAAAGACAATGCTCAATCTGTACATGGAGGACCTCCACCTGATCGGCATCCAGGAAGCCCGCACGCCCTGGGGAGTTCGCAGCGGCAACGACATCACCAGCACGAGTGCGTACGCCTACCACGTCATCTCAGGGGGGCACGATCAGTACAACCTCGGCTGCGAGCTCCACATACTCACCAGCAAGCCGTACGGAAAGGCAGGAGCCAAGGACCTCTACTTCCGCCCCGATCAGTTCACCGTCATCGAGCACAGCCCTCGGCATCTCGTAGTAAGGATCGAAGCCCCAGGATTTCGAAATACAGTCTGCGTCGCCCACGCACCACATTCTCGAGCTAAGCCACACGAAAAGGATACCTTCTGGGAGATGATTGAGTGCGCAACGTCTAACCACAATATCAACATCTTCCTCATCGATGCCAACGCTCGAACGGGAAGCTTACGCAGCCAGGCAATCGGCGATCAAGGCTTCAAGCAAAAGGAGGACGACAACGGCGAACGCTTCCACAGGGTCCTGCAAGGCAGCTCTCTCATAGCCGCGAACACCTTCAAAAGCGGAGGCCAGGACCACTATACATGGGACTCAGGCAAGGACGTACACAGACTGGACTACATAGTGGTTGGCCACGAGCTTTTTGACTCGATCTCCTACACGTCCGTAATGTACGGTATCGACACAGAACACGACCACTCACAAAAGAACGACCACTTCCCTGTCAAGGTTAACCTCGCCTACACAGTCGAGACCACTTACCAGCACGGCACGCCCAAGCTCGACACCGCTAAGCTCGACTCCGAGACAGCCAAGAACGACTTTCAACGACGCCTGCAGCAGATCCAACACCCCCCCTGGGAGACCAACCTCAACGACCATACCAAGAGCATCGTCGATCAGATAAAGGACGCAGCCTACGCCAGCTTCAAGAAGCAGCATCATGCCCCCCGCAAGCCCTACATCACCGAGGCCTCCTACGCTCTTCTTCGATTCCGACGCACCCTCATCAACAACGCCCAGACCATCCACAACCTGACAGCCGCCCTGGCAGCCCCCAAGAAAGGCAAACGCGGCGGGCCCGACGGGAACACCGACGACATGGCACGAGCAGCGCCGCGCCAGATTGCCCGACTCCTGCACCCCATCATGATGAAGATGCAGATGATGACGACGGAGCCCATCTCGGCGAAGGGCGGATTCTCCACCCACTTCTCTAAAGGACAAGGACAGCTTCATTTGCAGAAAGCCTACAGGGGCATCCTACTGAACAACACGATTGGCAAGATCAACAGCAAGTTCCTGAGAGGCCTCTTCCGCGACATCTTACCCGACCTGCTCATGGACACACAATGCGGCGCCGTCCCTCACAAGGCGACTGACTTCATCACCCACACCGCCTATACCTTCCTGGACGACTGCCGTGCACAGGCTCGCACGGGCAGCATCCTCTTCCTGGACTTGAGAGAAGCCTTTCATTCGGTAATAAGGGAATTCATGTTCCAGCTGCCGACTCAGGAGGACGAGCTCGAAGACGTCATCGACAACATCGAGATTCCCATATGCCTCCTCCCTTCCCTACGACAACGGCTTCGCTGCCCAGCACATCTCAACGCCCACGTCGACGACTCCCACCTCTGCGCCCTCGTTGCCGACCACCACACGGCCAACTGGATGACCGCCAAGGGCGCAGACGCATACGTGATCCCACGCACCAGTACCAGGCCAGGGGTGCCATACTCCGACGCGGCCTTCAACATGCATTTCGCCCTAGTGCTTCAGGCCATCGCCGACGACGCTGAAGGGGCAGAAGACGGTGAGAGTGGCCACCACATCCGACCATGCGACAACCCGCTCTTCTCTACGGCCCCGCATCAAGGCGGCAAGCTGACTAACATGTCCTTCGTCGACGACCTCACCGACTTCAACTCGACCACCAGCCACTCCGACATCATTGACATTACGAAAACTTCAGCCGAACGTCTATGCCGTACAGCCTTTACCTACGGGCTCAAGCCACACCCAGACAAGACCAAGGTCATTATCTCCTTCAACGGGACGGGCTCCAACGTCGTACGCAGCAGGCTTGCACAGCAGAACATTACGTCAATCCAGCTGAGCATCATGTCGATCTCGGTCCAGATCACAGACCAGCACCGACTCTTAGGCACTATCCTAACCAACGGCAGCATGGGACCCGAGGTACAGAATCGCATGCGACGAACCGAAGCTTCGGCACGAGCTCTTGAGAGGCAAATCCTAAGACGTCGACACCTACTCCGCAAAACGAAGATCAAGTACGTGCACGCCCTCTCGACCGCCTCGTTGACCTTCAACCATCACGTCTGGCCAACACTGACCCAGACCGACCACCAGCGCATCTCCAACGCCTACTCGAAGCCCTACCGCACGGCAGCCGGACTACCCAAGACGAACTCGCACCTTCATCATTTCACGGCCACCGAAGTAGTAGCTTACACAGGCATCCCCGACTTCGACCACCACCAGTCTGCTGGACGGCTGCGATACTTACCACGGCTTCTACGACACGCTCCTCAACAGCTCCTCCAACTGCTTGACAACCAGCGACGGAGAAAGGGCTCATGGACATACATGCTTTTCCAGGACTTCGACTTCCTGCGCACATACCTGGACGACCAGCGCTGGCCCACGACAAGCAAGCTCGACCCAGACGTGTTTTCATGGGCTCGCACCACGCCGAAGCACTTCACCAACTCCGTCAACCTGGCCATCACAAACTACATCCGCGCCTCTAAAGACCGCGCCCACGCCGACAAGCTTACGAAGGTGCTCAGACCCGACGGCCCCACTGGTGCGGACACTACGCCATCACGCGACAACGGCGCCTGCAACTTCATCTGCTACGAGTGTGGAATTGTAACCAAGACAAAGCAGGGCATGGCAATACATATCGGACGTGAACACCGACGACCTGATCATCCGCGAAACTGGGCATCGGGTACATCGTGCAGAATATGCCGCCAGAACTTCCACTCCTTCGCCAAGCTAGTGAAGCATCTAACCACGGTAGCCCGCTGCCGACGGTCATGGCACATGTGGTACTTACAGGGACCTGCCCTCACGGAGGAGGACGTGGCCACCAACCAGGCGATCTACGCGACCAGCATAGCCGACAACAAACGCAGAGGACGCCCCGAACTATACCACCATATCCCAGCCCATGCATCCGACGTCACTCCCTTACCATCCCTTGACCTATCACCTTCACCACCGCCATTCTTCCCGACTGTACCAGAGCTCACACCACCACCACCAGCCCACCACCCTCGAACACCGACCAGAAACAAAACTATTTATTACCTCACCAACACAGAGAGACACCCTAACGATCTGCTCGACATCACGGACCAACGACTATGCTATAAGGGAATGGTGATGGAACGAGTTATCATGACCTTCGATGATCTTTACTCTGCCGACCACCCATCACAGCACGACGCCCTCGACTCGATCCACCAGCACATTCGACAAGGCGACTTCGCGGGAGTGATGATCAACCTCTCACCAAGAACGTGGATCGACCTAGGCGACGGCGACCAGCACGACAGAAAAGCAGCATCTTCAAGGACAACCACGGACCCCTGGGGCAGAGAAAGCCTTGGAGGCGAGGCAGCCGAACGACGACTGATCGCGAACCACCATGCCCGCATCGCCATCCACACATTCCACGCGGCTCACGTCGCCGAGGTACCAGTACTACTGGCGCAACCTGCAGCCCCAGCAGGTCCGTCCCTGTTTTGGAACACTGAGATGATGCTCTACGCGACGGAGAGTCTTACCACGAGAAGACCTACCGCGCTAGACGTCACCAGCAGCATCTATGCAATACACTACGGCCTCTCCCAGGAGCACGGCAACTCACTCGACGACTTCGTCGACTCCATTGTGGACCACCAACCACATCATGGAGACCTCCAACCACAACATCAGGGAGACCGCCAACCACATCGTGAACGCCCCCTCTATGGAGAGGGGGGAGAGGACACGGTCCAGGCCTGACCTGGGCCGCCGCCCGCGGGCAGGTCATCATGGGGGTGGCTTTCCTTACTCCTCAGGCCTTTAATGAGCCCCCTCCCTCCTCTCCACTTTGCCACCCCCATGTGGCCACTCCCCTCTCCTCTTTAGCGTCTCCCTCCTCCCCCTCCCTGAAACTCCTGGGAATCTCCTGGGCCCTCTCCTGGGCCTTTCTTTTTTCGCCCTTTTTGGCCCCCGCCCCTCCCCTCGCGGAGCCTAGATGGCTCCTTCCCTGGGCTTCCTGGCGGGGGTCCGTGTAGGGGGAGGTGGTCCCCCCAGCGCGCCTTCGGCGCACGCGCGGGCCCGCCCGCGCGGACGGCTGCGTCCCGCGAGGACATTGAGCCGCGAGCGAAGCGAAGCGAAGGTGGAGCAGGAGGAGGAGGGAGGAGGGCGGAGGGAGGGAGGAAGGAGACCCCTCCCCTCTGCCACCGTGCCCGCCAGGGGGCCGGCGCCACGGGCCCGCCGCGGGCGCCTGAGGCGGCGGCGGCGGGGCAGATGGCAGCACCAGGCAGCGGCGGCGCCGTCTTTTTGGCTTCTTTTCGGGGTCAGCGTCAGGGAGGGACATCGAGGATGAGTCGCATAGGAGCAAGAAACATAAGCATCAAGTCTCGGCGCTCCGCGCGGATTTCGTAGATCGTCGTTGAACCCCACTGGCGGCCCCCCCCCCGGCGGCGCCTCCAGCGCCGCCGCTGGCGCGTTCCGTGCGCCAGGGACGCGTGTCCAGCGCAGATCCAAGAAATCCGCGCGGACTCTGGAAAATTCACGTTTATGCAGTTGTGGATAAGAACTACCCCGGCAAAGCACCCTACGATAGCCAAGGTGAGAAGGCGAGTCGAGGAGCAGGAGAGGTCGGCCAGCGACAGCGTGTATTCCCGAGGATTTCGCTACAACAGTACCCCTGTTTAGGTAGCCCTCCGCCACCGCAGTGTCTCTGCCTAGCCGCCGACGAAGAACGTGTATGCCCAAGGGTTTCCACAGATTCCCAGGCGTGACGAGGGTGACAGCGCGCCCATGAGCACCGTAGCGTATGTCTTGCAAGGAGTCGTGGCCGTGTGACGGGGGTGAGAGCGCGGCCAGCTGCCCCGTCATGCAGTGTTGGGCGGTGGGTCGTGGCCGTCCGGACCAAGCATGAAGCCCGCACTGGGGCGAGGGCACGATCCTTGAATCCATCATGAAGAAGCCTCCACCACTGGCGTTCTCGGGCTCCCCGTCCCCCTGGTGGGCCCGTCTGTGGTCTATAGCGGAACGCCGTCGGGGACAAGTCGACATCCACGACCTATCGATCGCCTTGCGGTTGGCGCGTCGTGGCGTCGAGCCGTGATGGTCGACCTCCGTTCTCCTGCCCGACGTCCTCCGCCTCCTCCTCCTCCTCCTCCTCCTCCTCTTCCTCCACCGCCGATCCAAGAAATCCACGCGGACCTCCGACAGTTTTTGTCGACGCAGTTGCTTGTTTTCTAGTAGAGCAGGCTCGTTGTTCACGGGGTTTCGAACGTTTCCGTCGGGCTTTCCAGCTTCGGGACACCTTCCGACGGCTATGCCTCGCCGAGAGCGTGCCGGGGGCGTCCAGATCGTGTGCCGAACGGCCGCTGGCGAGCTGGGTCAATACCCTGATGCCATGGGAAGCCAGAAGGGCGTGCGCACATACCCTGGCCCCAGGGTGGGCCTGTCCAGGATCGTTGTGGGTGTACGATGACTGCGCGTGTTTTTTTTATCACCCGCGGGGGCGCGAAGACACTCGCTTTTCGCGCGCCGCACCTTGGCCCAAGCCGCTACCTTTCTCCGAGGTGGACACGCGAGTGCGCGATAGAGCGAGCTTAATGCCGCGTCGCAAGGCGCGAAGCACGAAGTTTGGTGACCCAGAGGCCGTCGAGCAAAGTGGCCGTTGAACCCCGAGGCCTCTCTCCCCCAGCGCCTCACAGGCTTTTCCCCTTTTGCCTCGTCGCGGAGCCGCCGCGAGGAGGAGGAGGAGTCGGAGGAGGAAGAGGAAAGGAGTAGGAGGAGGGGCAGGAGAACGAGGAGGACGAGGAGGAGGACCATTTTAAACCGAAGACTCGTCGAAAATGTTGCAATAATCCCTGCGTCCAAGTTCCCTATGCATGGGTCTCCACAAGGATATACATATATGTATCCACTGCGGGAAGTGCCCCGTTGGAAAAACAACGGTCCGCGAATGTTCAATCATGCCCAAACACCATTATTGGGACGTCAAAGCCGCGAGCCGACGTTCCTATTGCGCCCTGACGGTCGTGAACCTTGCAAGGGCACTATTTCTGAGACTTGAACAGCGCAAATCAACGTGACTGTCGCGCCTTGACAACCCTCAATCGTGCCAGAACACCATTTCTGCGACGTCAGCCATAAGATTCCTTGAAACCGTTGTAAGCTTTTCAGACGACTGCGTGCGGCGCTGAGGTGGGAGACATATATGGAAAAGGAGCCGCATTCGATCTGTGAAACTGTTCAACATTTGAGGACAATGCGCGCGGCGCTGAGGCGGGAGTCACAATTTGGAAACGACCCGCCTTCCATCCGTGAAGCTCTTGCGAAATGTTAGGTCGAATGTGCGCGGCGCTGGGGCGAGAGCCACATTCTGGAGACGGCAAGCCCTCCATCGTGAAATTGTAGATCTTAGCCTCAGGGTTATGAGTTGTGAGGCAGGCTCAGGCGAAACGTCCAGCCCGGCCTACTGACCCGTCTCAGGGAGAAGTCATTTATCACGAAGGGGGGTGGAGCAGTGAGGGGGGGGAAAGGAGGGCAGAGGGCGCACCCACCCAGAGACCCGGCGCCACGACTTTGATACTGGGTCCGAGAACGTCCCGACCCTTCTGCCAAAGGCTGGCCGTTCATCCCCCGGTCGTTTTCGTTGACGGCCCTGGGGCTCTCCGAGGGGACTGCCGAGAGGCCAGAAGCAGTTTACAAGGCCGTGCGCCGTGTTTTTGCGTCCGGCCCGAGGGGTCATTGCAGCAGGAGGGGGAGGTCGGGGAAAAGGAGGAGGAGGAGGAGCACCAGCAGCAGCACCAGGGTGAAGACGAGGAGGAGGAAGAGGAGGACATGGAGCAAGTTGAGCGCAAGAGGAGGATCAGGAGGACGAAGGGGTAGAGAAGAGTGGAGGAAGAAGGGGAGGACCACAAACTACTAGTAATAATTACAGCAAAAATAGAACACTTCAAACCAACAGTAGTATTAATCCTAGTAGGCATAATCTTATGACTAACGCGAAGAAGAAAGAGAAGAAGAAACGGTGCAGAAATAGGGAAAGGACGCGGACACTGACGAGGAGGAGGATGAGGAGGAGGACGACGACGAAGACGAGGCAGTGGAGAAGGACGAGGATCCCTTCCCCCTCTCCGCAGGCCTCGCCGCGGTCCCGCCGCCGCCCAGTCTCTGGCATGGCGGCGGCGGCTGGCCGAGCGGCGGCGCCGACGCGGCCAGGCTCTCGGACGCCGTCGCCAGGCGCTTTGGGGCCGGCCGAAGGTGGATCGCACGTACATCGGAGGAAGGGCAGTCGAGACAAAGGCGGCCCTTCATGGCGTGTTTCGTGTTTTGTGTTTGTTGTATACGTGTTTTGCGTGTGTGTGTGTGTGTGTGTGTGTGTGTGTGTGTGTGTGTGTGTGTGTGTGTGTGTGTGTGTGTGTTAGTGTGTGTGTGTGTGCGTCTGCGTGTGCGTGTGCGTGTGCGTGCGTGTGTGTGTGTGTGTGTGTGTGTGCGTGCGTGCGTGCGTGGAGTGTGGGTGTATGTGCGTGCGTTCGCGCGCGTGCGTGCGTGCGTGTGTGCGCGTGTGCGTGTGCGTGTGCGTGTGCGTGTGCGTGTGCGTGTGCGTGTGCGCGCGCGCGCGCGTGCGCGTGCGCGTGCGCGTGCGCGTGCGCGTGTGCGTGCGCGTGGCGCGTGTGGGCGTGTGGGCGGGTGGGCGTGTGGGCATGCGTGCGCGTGTGCGTGTGCGTGTGCGTGTGCGTGTGCGCGCGCGCGTGTGCGTGTGCGCGCGTGTGCGTGCGTGCGTGCGTGCGTGCGTGCGTGCGTGCGTGCGTGTGTGTGTGTGTGTGTGTGTATGTGTGTGTGTGTGTGCGTGCGTGCGTGCGTGCGTGCGTGCGTGCGTGCGTGCGCGTGCGCGTGCGCGTGCGCGTGCGCGTGCGCGTGCGCGTGCGCGTGCGCGTGCGCGTGCGCGTGCGCGTGCGCGTGCGCGTGCGCGTGCTGCGTGCGGGCGTGCGTGCGGGCGTGCGTGCGGGCGTGCGTGCGTGCGTGCGTGCGTGCGTGCGTGTGCGGGCGTGCGGGCGTGTGTGTGTGTGTGTGTGTGTGGTGGTGCGTGTGTGTGTGTGTGTGTGTCCGCGTGCGTGCGTGCGTGCGTGTGTGTGTGTGTGTGCGTGTGTGTGTTGTGTGTGTGTGTGTTTGTGTGTGTGTGCGCGTGCGCGTGCGCGTGTGCGTGTGCGTGCGCGTGCGCGTGTGAGCGTGCGTGTGCGTGTGCGTGTGCGTGTGCGTGTGCGTGCGTGTGCGTGTGTGTGTGTGTGCTTGTGTGTGTGCGTATGCGCGTGCGCGTGCGCGTGCGCGTGCGCGTGCGTGTGCGCGTGCGCGTGCGCGTGTGCGTTCGCGTGTGTGTGTGTGTAGGTGTGTGTGTGTGTGTGTGTCCGCGTGCGTGCGTGCGTGCGTGCGTGCGTGCGTGCGTGTGTGTGTGTGTGTGTGTGTGTGTTGCGTGCGTGCGTGCGTGTGTGCGTGCGCGCGTGCGTGCGTGCGTGCATGCGTGCGTGCGCGTGCGTGCGTGCGTGCGTGTGCGTGTGCGTGTGCGTGTGCGTGTGCGTGTGCGTGTGTGTGTGTGTTGAGAGGGAGGGGGCGTAGGGCCTGGCCGCGCGCGTACCGGCACCGATCTTACTCCGCCCTGGCGCTGCGCGCGAGGCCGCGACCATCAGAAAGTGTGTGTGGGGTGCTGCGCGCACACAAATCGGAGGTCGGGCCGACGGGCCTGCGGCGTTGAGACGCGCGCGACGCGTGAATCCAGCCCGCGGGGCGCGCTGCTCCAGACTTCGTTTGACGCGCGATAATGCGCGATTCTCTGCTGTTCTTGTATGGTCGCGTGCGGGCCAGCGGCGGACGCGCGCGCAGGCGCGCCGCGCGGGCGCGCGCAGGTCAGGTCGCGGCGCGCAGTGGCGCGATTCGCTTGGCAGGATTTAAGTCTGATGTACACCGCTCTCGCGGCGCGCTCACCCGCGGCGCGGGCCCGTCGGCCGCTCTACCCCACCCGCCCGCAGCGCGGGGCTGCCCTTTCGGAGGCGGCCCACGTCCGCCGCGCCCGCCCGCCCGCCACAGCTGTGTGCTGCTGGTTTCGGCCCTGCCGCCTGGCGTTTCCATTGATACCGCCCCTGCACCCCTCTCCCTCGATCGACCCCCCTACCCCCTCCGCCCCGCAGACCCCTCTTCTCCTCATCCGCCACCCCCTCGATGCCGACCCGCCTCCCCCTGTTCCTCTCCTCCTGCTTGCTCTTGCTTCGATCCCCCCTCTTCACGAGCCTCTGCTGCGCCTGCTTGCGGTGCCGGGCTTTGCTGGGACGGAGGAGGAGGGAGGGAGGGATCGGGTGTTGTCAGGGGTGGCCGTGGCCCAAGGCGACCCCGGGGTAGCCCCAGCTTTTCCAAGGGGGCCCAGGTGAACCCCAGAGCACCCCGCACGAGGCCCAGAGGGCTCCAGGGCTCCAAATTTTGAGAAAGCGCTGGGGACTCCTCGGGCCAGGACCACCCCCGGCCCAGCAAAAATGACGGAATTCAGCTCCTACGTACTGTTCTCCGGAGCTCACTCCAGGGACACAGGAATTATGAGCTTGTGACTCCCAGCTCTTCCGCCAGCCCTTGAGGGCTCTCCAGGGGTCTGTCAGGAGGCACCTAAGGTGCCCCTCCCCTCCCTCCTCCTTCCTCCCTCCTCCCTCCTCGGAGCGTCCGGGCGGAATTCGTGTCCATATCCACGGCCTCGCGGGCCTGGCCCTCGGGCCGCGACCCCGTTGACGTGGGGCGCTTCGGGCACACGTGCCGCGCGCGGAGCGCATCCGTGCGACCACCGCGCACAGCAAGCTCGCGCCGTGTCGACGCGGTGGCGACCCCGCCGCGGGCGTCCAGGGCGGAACGCCGCCAGTGGTCCCGACTCGGCCAATGCGGAAGGATCTGGCGGTCGAAGAGCCGCGGGCCGTTCAGGATGGAGCGATCCGCGCGGTGTCAGGGGTCGATTCGGCACGAACCCGCTGTTCCCACGGGACCGCGCCCCGACGTCCAGACCGAGAGGGCGAGGACATGGGCTTTACCAGGCGGCGAGCGAGGGGGGATGCCAGATAGGGAGGAGGCCTCCTCGGGAGGCGGCGGGGCTTCTCAGAAGCGCTCCGCTTTTTCTGTTTTGGAAGTTTCCTGTGTCTTCGGGGAGGGCCTGATACTCTGTGGGCCCCGGAAACGGCAGGGCCGTTTTTTCACCGTTTCCGAAAAAGTGTCCCTTGAAACTGGAAACGGCAACAAAACGGCGACCGGAAACGGCAACAGAAACGGCTCCAGGAGTGGGACCGGAGCGGGAACCCGTTACAAAAAACGGCGTCGGAACCGGCAGAGAAACGGCGTCGGAACCAGCAACAAAAACAGCAAAACGGAACCGACAAAAAAACGGCCCTGTCGTTTCCAGGGCCCACTAAGGCTTGATACACGTCTGCGAAGGGCGACGGCCTTCCGAGCCTTCTTCTTGGCCGGGCTGATCTGCGCTCGCCTTTCGCGACCCCCGCCGTGCGCTGGCTCGCCGCGCGCCGCCCGCAGGCGGGACACGTGGGCGCCAGCCACCGCCGTCTGCGGCCAGGCGCGCGCTGGCGCCGTCGCGCTGGAGGCGGAGGAGGACCGAGGCTCACGTTCAGGGATCGAGGAGGGGAGGATGAGGAGGAGGATCGAGGTTCGAGGATCGGGCAGGGGCCCCCCCCCCCTCCCCCTTGTCCTCCTCCTCCTCCTCCTCCTCCTCCACCTCCTCTTGTTCCTCCTTCTCTTGTTCCTCCTTCTCCTCCTCCTCCTCCTCCTCCTCCTCCTCCTCCTTCTCCCTCCTCATTTCTTGTGTCTCATGCCTGATCGGGGTGGCGAATGGCCCGTCGAGTAGCGCATGCTCCGCCTCTCACTTCCTCTTATCTTGCTCCCGCCTCCTTGACTCCCCGTTCCTACCTCCCTGCTCCTCGGTCTCCTCACACGAGAACGAGGAAGAGAAGGAAGGCGGAAGATGAGAAGGAAACATAGGTAAAGGAGGTGGAGGACGAGGAAACGCAGGATGAGAGGGTGGGAAACAAGGAAAGGAGTTCAATGTTGGATCATCGGGGCCTTCATGCGTTCCTCGTCTTTTGCGCGGCAGGGCTCCCCGGGGCGTTCCCGTTGCCGCGGCTGGAGTGTCTTCGAAGTCGTGGTCAAAACGTACGCCAGGAGAGAGGACTGTCGGGTCCAGTGTTACAGGGACGAGCAGAAGGAGAGGAAAGGAGGGGTGGTGAGGAGGGTTGCGCTCGTGTCATCTCCATCTTTCCTCCCTCTTCCCTCCCTTTCTGCCCCAGGACCTCCTCCTTCCTCTCAGCAGTGCCTCCCACGTCCCTCCCCATCCGCCTCGGGCGGAGGACTAACAAATGGACGACGGAGGATGAGTCAAGATAGGGCGGGAGATGGGAGGAACGGAAAACAGGATGCAGCAATCGTGAGGGGGAGCCAGCGAGGAGGAGGCCGGCGGGGACGACGACGACAAGGATTAAGCCCATGGGGAGGCCGACGAGGTTGGCGCCGGCGAGTATGACGCTAGCGACGCGTACGGAGAAGAATAACCATAACAAGCAGAAGAAGAGGACGACGAAGCAGAAACAGAAGGAGATGAAGACGATGGCGTCGCTGACAGGGACGACGATGCCAACAACGACGGTGCTAACGACGCCGAAGGAACGACGACGACGACGACGACGACAACGACCACGACCACGACCACGACCACGACCACGACCACGACCACGACGACGACGAGCAGCGCCACGTGGCCAGCGCGCAGGGGCCGCGGCCGCCCAGCGGCGGGGCCGCGGAGGCGTCTGCCCGCGCCACTGCGCGCGCGTCTGGGGGGGGCAGGGAGGCTCCGGGCAGCGGTCGGGGGCGGACAGAGCCCCCAACAGCGACACGTCGATTATCAGGGCCCCGAAGCATCCGGGGTAATTCGGGTCAGGGTGAACTCGGGTTCGTTTTTCGGGAATCCGAACCCGAGTTACCCCGGGCCCGAGTTACCCCGGATAATCCGGGCGTCCAGAGCCCCACATCATCAGGGGTAACTCGGGTCAGGGCTAACTCGGGTTCCTTTTTCGGGAATCCAAACCCGAGTTACCCCGGACCCGAGTTACCCCGGATAATTCGGGCGCCCAAGATTAGTGAATTGTCCGTTTTCGGTTCTCGAGAGGGCGCCGTAGCCGTTATGTTCCAGGCTTGCGCCCGCCAGGTTTGGGCCTCGGGTCGTTTTCACCAAACCACTTTTTGGTAAAGGGGGGTCTGTCCATCCCCGAAGCAGGAACAGGTAGTTACCCATGCCTCTATCCTTCCCTCGTTCCAGACTTTCTCAGCCTCCTGGGAGACACTCGTGGCCACCGCTGGATTCGCCTCGAAGTTCTGGTCAGGACAAACCCTCGGGGAGGTCAGGGGAGTAGCGGTATCGATCCGTATAGCCGTTTGGTTTCAAGCCACGCTGTGTCAAGGCCATCTACAGGCCCTCCCCCCGCTCGTCCTGTAGTCTTCCCAAGCACCCAGGTGACCACCGCCTTGTTGTGACCATGGCCACAACTGCGGAGCTCATGCGGATCTGTGCCCCGTTGTACCCGTCCATCGCCCTAGAGAGCGCGGCGAATTTCGGGCTGTTTCTTTTCTTTTCGTACCTGTCCATCCTCATCTCCACGAAGCAGCAGGTGAAGACGCCTGCGAGGGCGATTTGTCGGATGCTGTGGAGCAGCCTGACGGAGTGGGCGGAGGACACTTGGAGGGTCCTGCGCAGGTGGCCTCACATGCACGAGATGGAGCTCGGCCAACGCTTCCGCTACTGCCGGAGGCTCAACGCGACCATCTGTCGACTCTCGGCCGCCATTGCGCTCATTACGATCACCCGCTGGTTCCACATCAACAACGTGAACGGGTTCCGTTACCTCGGGTATGCACTCACTTGCCCCTTGATGCAGGCCGAGCTCGTGTTGCTCATCGCGCCGCACATCCCGTGCTACAGGCTTTTGGCGGTCTTCTCATGCCTCATCACTTTCGGCATGCTCCTCACCGGCTACATTGCGTCTCAGTTCGAGGGGCCGATGTGGAAGACCGATTTCGAAACCTTCTATGACGAAGCCCTGGACGGTAACCTGAACAGTCTGACCACAAAGGGGTGGTGGTTGATGCCGAGCACGGTGATATTGTGTTTCCTCTCTTTTGTGCAGATCCCTATTCTTGGCCTTGTGTACTATTGCAGCGGCGGCTCGAAGAATGAAGACCTGCCGAAAGGCTACCCTAAGCTCCTGACGATCACGTCTCTCTCTTGGTTGGGCTTCCCCGTCTGGTGGTACTTGTCGTACGAGGGGGCGAGCATTATCACGGAGTCCAGGTGGAACGCCGTAGGTTTTGTGGTCCTGAACATGACCAGCAAGGGCGGCTTCACCCTGCAGATGCTCAGCATGGTCAAAGCGTGGAAGCGGCAGCAGGCCCAGAAGCCGAAGCCTCCGGCCGCCCCGGAGCCCGCCAGCGCGGTGCCGAAGCTCGAGCTGCAGTCGGCACCCAGGGGCGCCCCTGCGGCGCAGGACACCCCACATGTGCGGGCCGCCAAGAGGATCCAGACAGGGCAGTCGCTGCAGTGGTTCGTCGACGCCATGAAGAAGTGGGAGCCCGAGGAGCCGAACCCTTCGGCCTCGACCGCGCAGAAGGCGGGCGCGGGCCCACAGGGCGAGGTCGAGAGGGTGGTGATCACGGACCCGCGCCAGCTGAACGACGAGCAGCTCATGCAGGAGCTGGGGAAGCGCTTGGTCGCGCACGGATCGGGCGGCAAGGGAACGCCGAGCCACCAGTTGAACGCCAACATCCGCAACGCGTGCACCAAAATCCTTGAGGCCGACGAGAGCGATGACGACGAGTGAGTGGCGCGGCAGGGGCGGCGTATGAGTCGAGTGGCGAAAACTTGCGTGATCATATTTACTCGGAGGGTGGCGCGGATTTCTGGGATCGGCGCTGGACCCCCACTGAATGAGTAGCCCAAGATTGCATCATACGTAGGGAGAGTTGCAACCGGTTATTTAAACTGGTCATTGAATTGAACGCCCCTGAGGGGGCAGACACCGCCGCCCCATCATTCTTGGACCCTGGAGATTCTGTGGGAGCGGCGGCCGCTCCGCGCGCGCGAATAGGAGATGTCCTGGTGCAAATACGGGTGCTTCCGCTTGGAGGCCTCGTTGGGCTCTACGGAGAGGACATTGGGCTCCTCAGCGAGCTCTCTGTCGTATGACCCTGAGCCTAGGACGGCCGCAGAGAGGCTGGAGGAACTGAAAGCAGCGAGCTCTGTGTCTTATGACCCTGAGGCTAGGACGGCCGCAGAGAGGCTGGCGGAACTGAAAAAACCATCGAGTTCGTCCGGTGAGCGTGCCGAGGAGTGTCTTTCACATGACCCTGAGGCTAGGACGGCTGCACAGAGGCTGGAGAAACTCATCAAACTCCGCTATGTTCGTCCCAGGTTGACCTCTGGAGGGGCCCAAAAAGGAGCCGGACTGGGTCAAGTGCTGCGGCGACATGGGGTGAACGATGGAAGCAGGACGGGAAAAAAACAGTCCGGGTTTGTTTGCGGCTCCTGGAAGAGTCCCTGGAGGCTCCGAGAGGGCGCTCCAGATGGGCGAAATACGGTGCCAAGAAGGCGGCCAGACGGCCCAAGATGGGTCCGAGAGGCTGTCAGGACGGTCGTAGAGAGCACGCCCGGGTTCTAAGATGGCCGCAAGAGCCAGCGAACATGCACGGGAGCTCCGAGAGAGGCGCAAGGAGAAGTGCGAGAAGGCCAGCATCAGCAACATCCTATGTGTTTAATTGTGTTTCTTGCTTCATGGGGTGTTCTGGTGCATGTGGCCCCAACAGATGTGGGAAGGCATCTGAAACGGCACCAAGTGGCCCGAAGGAGGGTGAAAAGGAGCCCAGGAGATCCTCAAGAGGCCCGAGAAGCCGGCCCAGTGAGCTTCTGGAGAGGTCTCTGAGAGCGCCTGGCCTCTGTGGGCCCCGGAAACGGCAGGGCAGTTTTGTCACCGTTTCCAAAAAAAGGTCCCTTGAAAGTGGAAACGGCAAAAAAACGGCGACCAGAAACGGCAAAAAAACGGCTCCAGGATTGGAGCCGGAGCCGGAACCGGCCAAAAAACGGCGACGGAACCGGTAAAAAAACGGCGTCGGAACCAGCAAAAAAACGGCAAAACGGAACCGGTGACAAAAACGGCCCTCGTTTCCAGGGCCCACTAAGTTCAGAGGCAGGGGTAGGTATGAAAAACGCGCTGGAGAGAAGACTTACACACAGCACTATGGAAAACCATGCTGTGGATCTCACACGCCGCACCCGGCGGGGCGGCGGGTCGCTTCGCTCATTCCGCCGGCTCGTATTGAGCCATCGCAGGCGTTTGCCTGCGCGTTCGTGGCCTCTTGGGGCCTTTGAGGGGGCCGTTTGGGGGCCTCTTGGGGGGCTCTTGGGGCCTCCTGGGGGCCTCCTGGGGGCCTCTTGGGGCAGAAGGCTCGAGTTGGTGGTTCGTGTTCCCCCTCTCGGGGCTGTCTTGGGCCGTCTTGGGGCCCTCTTGGGCTCTCTTGGGCCCATCTTTGGGGCGTATTGGGCCGTCTGTGGAAGATGTTGGAGGTCTCTGGGGCAGTTTTGGACGCTGTGAACCCCTAAACGTCGCACATGCTAAACATGCACGTTTACTTGAAGGGAATGAGACGATTTATGTTTGTTGAGGTCCTCTTGTTGAGCCTCTTGAGGCTTTCTTTGGGCTTTTTCGCGGCATCTGGGGCCATCTGGGGACCATCTGGAGCGTCTTGGAGCGATCTTTCGGCGACTCGGGGCCTCCTGGGCCGTGCGGGGGGGCGCCCAGGCGCCCTCTTGGCACGCTCCTGGGGCGCCCTGGGGGAGTCGGCCGGGCACCGGGGGAGTCGGCCGGGCACCGGGCGGAGTACTGTTCGCCCAGGGGTCCCCAGGGGCCGCCACGCGCGCGAACCAGAAGTACTGTGAACCTGTTACCAGAGATCTTCGCACGCCTCTGGCCGGTTGGGCCGGCGAATTTTTGAGCTCCCTACGTCGCGTTTGTGCCCGTGCCGCTGGCGCGATGGCATCGGTAAAGTCGTGCCGTCGGCCGAGCGGTCACCGTGCTCACGGCCCGAGACCTCCAAATGATTGTCAAAGATCATGGGCCTTGCACTGAAACGTCAGGACATCGGAGATCTGGGGTAGGCTTCACCGCCATGCGTCTGAATGTTTCTTCTGAATATTTCTCGCGCGTCGCCCTGTGAGATCTCCAGGCCGCGGTTCCGGCGCGCTAAGGAGGCTCGGAGGCTGGTCGTGCGCCGAAATTGGCGGCGGCGGTCTCCTCGCCCTCAAGCGGGGGCGGGGCCTTCACGATGCCACTTGGGTGTTCTTGATCGTGAGAGCAGACTTCTCGTGTTGCTCCCGTGGTCCTTTTTTGCCCGCTCTGTGCTGGCTTGTAGCCTGCGCTCGCTCGAATGTGATTTCGCGTCCCTGGCAGTGGCCCCCTGTGGAGCCCTTTCGTGGACCAGATCCGATCGGATCCTTATCCTCTTCTTCCGCCTTCTCGATCTTCTCCATCCGCTCCCCTTCCTCGTCTTCTCTCCCTCCCGCTCCTGCTCTCTTTCCCCTTGCTCGGTCCCCTATGAGAGCAGCTGTGCAGGCCACCCGTTTCTTCTGGCATGCTGGCGTCCCCCACCGCCGTCAGGAGTCATGCAATTGGTGGAGAGTAGCTGATGAGCTCAGAAAATAAGGGAGTAGCGGTATCGATACCTTATGGTTGCCCAAGAGGCGTCGCGCGGCTGGCGTCGGCGAGGTGGCTGAGCATCACAGCACCACCGAGGCTAAAACACCCTGAATCTACAAGCCTCGTCAAACATATTTTTTAACACCCTGACCCTACAAACCCTCGAGGTGCCCGGTAGCTCGGGCACTCGCAAGAAAACGCGTTTTTCAATGTTGCGAGGGCACTGCCAGATTTCGGGCCCCCCTGCGCGTGGGCCAAACGCACCATGCGAGCATTGAAGTAGCGCCGACAGCGCCAGCGCCGAATCCCAAACCATCAATTATGTTGACGAGGCTTGTAGTAACTCAAAGAGGACGTAGCCTAACTTAGGTCCCCGAGCTTGCATTAGGGATGGTAATTCTGGGTGGTCTGGCTTGTCACACAGCACAGCAACAAGCAGGGGGGACAACAGGAGAACGAGCATCACAACAAGGCCTCTCGAGTCATAAGAAAATCACGATGAAGGGTTGTTCGCTATTTTCTGCCTCTTGGGGGCACTGACCGGGTATCCGGACATTTGTTTAACGAAAAATTGGTCCTGGGGAATGGGTCGAAACCCTTGTGGGTCGAAGTTATGAAACAAATCATGACGTCGGGAGTCTGGGTTTGGAGGAAAGGCACCACGACCCACCACCACGAGGACGTCACCTCCTGCAGGCAGTTCAGACGACACCACCACCGACACCACTACCACCGCGCAAGCCTGGGGGAAGGAAGGCAATGAGCGACTGACAGCGACGAGGACGAGCTTCCGCTTGCACGCCGCACCGTGGGTGGAGACGGAGTCGGGATGGGAATTGTTTTGCATCCGGGTCCAAAGCGGCAGTCCCAGACTCTGGCAACGCCTGATCCCGATTCGGGACAGGGCGCCTGCGCGCAGCCGAATCCGGCAAACGCACGAAGAGCGATCGAATTAGATGAGCCAGGTCCAGCGACCCCGCAGAAGTTCCATTCCGCAGTCGATTTGTCTCCCAAAACCCGCGACTGTTCGACGACAATGGAACCCGTTCAGAAAAGGAGGGGAACCCTGGGATACACCCCAAGGGGGCTATTCGGACGCACCCACATCGAGGATGGACGCCACCCCATCGCACATCCCAGGATTGGGCCCCAAATTCCTGGTACACTCGGAAGCCCCTGGGATAGGGGTCGACATATCCCCTGTTGCCATTCCCGAACGCACAGCGCCCCAAGGAAGGACGCCATCGGGGGAAAGAAAGGCGGCACCACCGCCACGAGGACGAGGAAGATGGTGAAGGAGTTCGTGTCCCGCCTACCTTGGAGTTCACTCCACGGGATCTTTCATTGACGTACAGATCAACCAGCCTTTGATTCTGAATGCCTCCAGAGACCCCTGAGGGCCCTCAGCGAAGCCCTTCAGGAGGCCCTCCAGAAGCCCCTCCCTCCAGGGGGTCCAGACCCAGTCGTGGGAAAGAAGTGCGGCACCATCACCACCAGGGATGCCAGCTCCAGCGGGGAGGTCCACGGGGCCCCCCCGAGCTGACGGTAGGGGGCGTCTCGAGCGGGGTCGGGGTGGGGGGCGGGGCACACCCCATGGGACCCCCCCACACGGCTCATGGCGTTGGTGGTGGGGTCGTTATTCCTTTTGTTCCAATAGGGCGCCGACGGCGAGGGCGTCGACGTCGACGTCCCTCACGTCGTTCTTCCCCGAGCGGCGGATGCGATAAGGGGGGTCCCGTCTCGCATGGTGAGCGCTGGCGCCTGCGACAACACATATCGCCCACGTGCCGTGCCCTCGCCGCGGCAGGGGCCGGATGACCGATCTCGAGTGGATTCGGGCAGCCGGCGAGTGCAGCGCGAGCGGTCGGCGTCGCGCAAGATCAAACATCAGTTGCCGACCGACCTGCAGCCAAGACGCGCGAGCCAAGACCACGTCGGGCCCGCGGTGGGCTCGCGGGTCCCCGGGCGCCCCCACGGCTCCTCCGCCGGCGCTCCCCGTGCACCCGAAGCACACCTCTCAGGGGGGGCACAGCGGGGGGCGCGCGCCCAGGGTGACCTCCCAGGGCGACCTGGGGGGCGACCCAGGGTGACCTCCCAGGGTGACCTCCCAGGGTGACCTCCCAGGGTGACCT